GGTTTTGAGTTTTGTTCCACATTTTCTCCCACTCTATCCAGGATCTTCTATTTTGATCCCTTTCCAAGTGGTTGGCAGTGGTAGCCGGGCACCATCTAGGTCTTTTGGTCTCAGGGTCATACAGGCTGAGGTTTGCATGGTCCACTAGTCCCTTGGACAAATTGTTTTCATGTCTTTGATTTTCTTCATTCTTCTTTGCTCCAGTCAAGGAGAGACCAATTGTTGCATCTAGATGGCCTCTCAGAAGCTTTTAAGACCCTGGTGCTAATTATGAAAGTAAGATATAAAACAGTGTTTTAGTGTCTTATGTTATGCCACTTCAGCTTGATGTCCCCCATGACCATGGTCCCAAGGCTGTGGGCCCAGCAACTCACTCTCAAGGTGTTTGGCTGTGGGTGAGAAATTACCAAAACTTTGCTCCATTAGCTCTGTTACATATGTGGACACTCTTAATGCACACACAAGCACATATGTAGAAGTATTACCTTTTACCTACCTATACCTGATCATTTTGTGTGTCTACTTACATCTCCACCCATAGATTAGTATTTGTTATTACTTAAAATGCAGTATTGTGTGTGTGGTATATGAAAGTATTGACCTTTGCTATCTGTTCCTCTTGTGCACCTTTCTGTTTCTTCCTTTTCCTTAATGTTATTATGTTGGTCATTCGCTTTTGGTATATTGCCTTTCCCTTTACCCAAATCAGTACCTGTCTCTTACCTATCTAGCAATTTTCCTTCTCCTCTCCTCCCATCCCTGGTAGCCAACAAAGAAAGTTTCCTTCCATGTGTAAACATTTCCTTGACTTTTTATAATAGTTGATTCACACAATATTTGTTCTTTGGTAACTGACTTATTTCACTCAGCATAGTAATAATAATTTATTATTTTCTTTCCAAGTTTAAAACAGTCCGTTCTATCTTGAAATCATCCTGACTTCCTCTCCATTTGGAAATTCTGTACCTACACTATTTATCTTCTCTTTTTTTGATTTGTAGTTGTCCTCATTTACTAATTGATATCTCTGGTTCCCTGTTTACAGTCTTGTAAATTTATTTTGCCTCAGCCACTTTCATATCTGAGTTTGTTTCAGGGTTATGTCATCACGTGTATTAATCATCAGTTATTGTCTGCTGTTGCTAGTTCTCTATCCAAAGAACACCCTTTAGGATTTCTTGAAAGGTTGGTCTAGTTTTAACAAATTCCCTTAATTTCTGTTTATTTGGAAATATCCAAATTTTGCCATCATATTTGAGGGACAGTTTTGCTGGGGATATCATTCTTGGTTGACAAGTTTTTTTTTTTTTTTTGTTTCAGAGTTTTATATATGTCATCACATTACCTTCTTGCTTGCATAGTGTCTTTTGAGAAAATCTGAGCTTAGTCTTGTTGGTTGCACTTTGGAAGTAAATTTTGTTTTTCCTGTGCTGCTTTCAGGATTCTTTGTCTTTGGTTTTGGTAATTTTGATTATGGTATGTCCTTGTGATTTTCTTTTGGAGTCTGTCCTGTTTGGGGTTTGTTGAACTTCTTGAATGGATATCTTCTTGCCGTTCATCATATTAGGGAAGTTCTCTTCCAACAAATCTTCAACAATTTTTTCTGTGGTTTTATTTGTCTCTTCCTGTTCTGGAATTCTGATCAAATGTCAGTTATTTCTCTTGATGATATCCCACATAAATCATAGGCTTTGTTCATTTTGTTTTCATTGATTGATCCCTTAACAAAGTAAAATTGAGAGATTTGTCATCAAACTCACTAATTCTGTCTTCCATTGATTTTGCTTCTACTCATTTGCCCTTTCAATGTGTTATCTATTTCTGAAATCTTAATATTAGTCTTCTGGATTTCTATTTACTGTTTTTGTATGACTTTAATTTTTCATTTATTTTGTAGTTCTTGTGTTGTTTTCCTAAAGTGATCTAGAGTTTTCTCTGTGTTTTCTTTAATTTTCTTGGCTCAGGTAATTTTTTTCTAAAAATTTCTGCCAACCTTTAAAAATGTGATCATAAGTTCTGTGTGGGTGAAGGTTCTGTTTTCATTCTCTAAGTATGCCATTTGAAAATTCATACATGACTATGACAATTTGGCAGCAAAGATATATAAAGCAAGGAAAGTTTTACTAAGATTCATTTCAAATTATTTTCACAGCATGATAGTATCTTTAACTTGTTTGTCTTAACTTTTGTCCCATCTGGTTAAATCGCAATTAATTTTATCTCCCAATTTAACTTTAAGAGTATATTCTAAGAGTAGGAGTCTCTGTTTTGTCATGTTTATTACTGTTCATTTCTGCATTATCCTTAGTATCAATATAAAATGATGGTTTCCTTGCAAAAATATATAACTGAAGGTTAATTTAGAAAACGTTAAATAATACATTTAGAAAATCCATTTACCCAATATATTGCAAAAGTCGGTTAGTGACTTAAGAGTCCATTGAACCCTCTTGGTTGGGGAACACTTGATTTTTCTTCCAGATATTCCAAAATCCAGTGTCTGCCCAGTAGTTGCCAGTAGTGGGAGTCTTGGTGCCACAAATTAGGCTCTTAGCTAATAACTCAGAAGTTGGCAGTTCAAAGCCACTCACTGGCTCTGAGGGAGGAAGACCTGGTGATCTGCTTTGTTTGCAGCCAAGAAAACCCAATGGGGCAATTCTACTCTCTCCTTACAGGGTCGCTAAGAGTGGGACTCAATTTGATGGCATTAGGTTTTTGTTTGTTTGGTAGTAACGAGCTGAGACAGAAGCAGCAATACCAAGAGGCCCCGGAGATGGCATGGTGAGCTTCCCCACCCACAGAACTGGAGGCTTGCTGACAGAGTGGAGTGCCTATAGGCACTTGATGGAGCTAACTACAGAGCAAGAGACCTGAGCACCTTTGGACTGGAAGCTTGGGTTACCTCTAGACACTTGTCGATTGAGTTAGGCTTGTTGAACTAGGGAGCTAGAGAACTAAGCAACTTTGGCAACTTACTGGTGGTGTGTGTGGTGCCTCCAGGTACTTATCAGCAGAGCTCAAAGAGCTTTGCACACTTGTCCAAGCAGGACAGGGGCTAGGCTGAGGGACTAGAGAGCCCTGCCTATGAGGATGGCTGAGAAGAGCCGGTCATGATTGGATAACTGTGTCCTGAGTCTTTCCTGATCCTGAATTAACCTGTTATTTCCCTAATAAACTCCATTATCATGAGTATTGTCTCTGAGTTGTGTGTGGCCATTGCAATGAATTATTGAATCCAGCAGAGACGTAGACAGGGCTCTAACAAGGATGGCTTATGTCAGATTTGGTAAAAAGGCTGGCAAGAGGAGGTATGTTTGACCTTCATTAAGTAGGAATCAGCCTTGGGCTGTTGATCTTGATTTTCCTTCCTCATGTGAAGTTAGAGGACGCCAGACACCCCCAGGCCAATTTTACTTTTCATATTTTCTTTATGAATCCTTGGGATGTTTCAAACTCTGTCTTGCATGTGATCCCTCATATTGGAGGCTGCTGGATTGGACCCTTTATTGGTATGAATCCCCTCTGCTGTTCAATGACTCTGGAATATGATTCTTATACCAATTTTGCCCAATCAGTATGCAGCCCAGTTTCAAAACCCATGTCATATGCAGGACATTCTTAGTAAGTTCAAGAATATGAGTAGTCATATCATTAGAATATATTTACAGAAGTCAAAGCCCCTTAGGCTTGAAGTCAGGTTCTGGAAACTCTGGGCACCTCATTGTTATATTTGACTCAAAGCACAAAGAAATTAAAGTATATAACGTTTATTCCATTAGTTCATCTGTATGTGTACAGGGAGACCATTTTGTTTCTAACATAACAAAAGGCTCAAAGCAGACTAGTAACAGTGAGGTTTTTAAAGAGCAGGAAATAGAGTAGAAAATAGATTATTCACTTGATTTGACATTAGTCATTGACTCACACCCCCCTTTATCAGATCACCTACATCAGGATACTAGTTGGTCTCTGGCCTGGTTGGGTTGGGAGTGTTGAGATGAGGCTGGCAGGGAAGTAGGGGGAGAGACCCCACTAATTTGCATACATTCTCAGGTGTAGTAAGAAGCTTTTAAAATAATAAAAGCACTCCAGCTGCTCAAGATTCCCGAGATGTAGAATTGGCTTCTCAGTAGAGAAAAGACTAATTTACTCTTTGGTGAAATTAAATTTTTACACAAATGTACTTCAAACAAGTTTATGACTAGCATGTGTCTTCCCAGAAAGTGGATTTGCGAAGACTTGATCACTGCCCATCTCAGCTTTCTTATTAACAGTTACGTTGATCTTACTCCCGTCTACTACTCACTGCCGTGGAGTCGGATTCCACTCATAGCCACTCCTCCTTGGGTTTCCGAGGTATCTCTACAGAAGTAGATGGCCCAACCTTCTTTCCGAAGATTCAAAATTTAATTTACAGGTTTCAAAGAGTACACGTTGGAGCCAGGGCGTTTGTCACACGTACTGCTCTCAACTAACTGTTCAGTGTCAGCGTCACAAAGAGGGTGCAGGTGCTTGGGTGACCCCGCAAGCCCGTCCGACCCCTGACCCCGGGGTCACCAGGCCCTCCTGTCGCCGCCTGGCGTGGGAGGCCCTCTGGACCAGGAGTCGGTCCCCTGGAAACCTCTGGAATATGGAGTTCCCTGCGCACACTTGTGTCCGCGTTCGAGAACAGACGCAGGAGGCAGCAAAGCTGGGGAGATACAGTGGTTTCTGCTGGAAGCCGTAGCGCGTGCGTCGAAATCAGGCGTCCCTGGGGGCGGGGCCAGAGAAAACCGGGTCGCTGATCGAGAGTCCATGGATGCCTCAAGTCACTAAGCAACGAGGGGGCGAAGCCTGTTTGTTCATTCAGGAACGCCAGGGCGGGTCCTGGAAAAATACTCAATCGGGGGACCGGGGGCGGGAGGACGCACCGCAAACAGGCTCTGACGTCATTGCTCCGCGCGGTCGCACCGCGACCGTTTCATACGTTACCCGCTCGGTCCTTGTTGTCTGGCTCTCAGCGAAGAGGACGCTGGGTGGTCTCCAGAAGCCGGGAAATGGTGAGCTTGGAGTAGAGTCTCCTGAGATAGGGGCGAGGGAAGGGCCCGGTTCGAGCCGGCTGGAACTGGCCGTGTGCGCGGCCCCAGGCCCTTTGCCTGCACTCTGGGATCTCCCGACCGGAGACCGTTGACGGGCGGCTGGACTCTCGTCCTCTCCGGCTTCCAGGGTGGGGCGCGCCAGAGCCGGCATTCCGGGCGTCCTGTCTGTCTCTGCGCACGGCGACCTCTCCTCGGCCAGAGCCTCGTCCCAGTTACACTGTTGGGGGAGGGTGCTCTCGACGCCCTCCTCTACAAGCCAGGGGGATGCACCCAGCAGGATGGGCGGTGGGACTACCAAGACACCTTGTTTTCCCTGAGACTTCCAGATAGGCAGTCAGTAGGTGCCCAAATCCAGAACCCTCTTCCACCTGCTTAGCTCTTTCTTGGACTGGTAATAAATCCCCAAATCCCGGATAGCTCCCCATATTCCCAAATGGCAACTACTGCTCGCCAAATTATCGTTAACTATTTGTGACCACTCTGTAAGACTTTAATTGTTCATTTTATTTACTAGGAGTGATGGATGACTGTTAAAAGTTTTGTTTCCTGTATGTGAACTTGTTACAGCTGCCATTTCTCTTGACGAAGCTAGTGAGCATCAGCCCCTGTGTTCACCTTCCAGAAAGACCCCCAGACTACCTGATGGGGGTGGGGAATCTCCTGATAAAGCCTTTGTGGAACTTTTCTCCCCCAATTCCAGTCTTCAGTCCTTGGAGAGTCATTTGTCTTCAGCTGACAGGATGCTGTAAATTCAGGAAGAAGATGAAAATGGTTCCTGCCTCCGGGTTTGCACAATGAAGTGATGGGAAAAAGCCTAACCCTAAGGACATGGAAAGCCACCCCAATGAGGAGAATGGAACACCGTGGAGGAAAGCAAGGAGCACTTCAGACCCAGACCAGAGCGCTGTCCAGGGTTGGTAGATGCAGGTCAGGGAACAGCTTAAGTTGCCACGTGGCAGGGTGACTTGGGGCCTGACTTTGAGGTGGAAATGTCTGCGTTCAGTTCAGCACTGCCCGTGGCTGGGTTTGTCACCTAAAAAGACTTGATTATTGCTTGGGCCTTTTTGTCATTAAGTATAAAATACATTTGGTTGATAGAGCTTGAAACATAAGATATTTCCAAAGAGGCAACCAAACCGAAACCAAACCTGCTGCCATGGAGTGGATTCCGACTCACGGTGACTCTATAGAATAGAGTAGAACTGTCCCCTAGGCTTTCCAAGGCTGTAATCTTTTTGTTTCTTTATTTTTTTAATTTTTAAATTGTGATTTGGGTGCAAAGTTAAAAAGTAGATTTTTTTACTCTCAATGATTCATGCACATTTGGTTTCACAGCACCGATTATAATCCCAACCATGAAAAGCTCTCGTCCCTTCTCCTCCCTGTGACTACCCCTTCCGTGTGTCCTTCTTCTCTATGCATCCTGTCTGTCCAGCTTTCCCTCTATTCTGCTCTTCTCATCTCTCACAGTTGATTGATCTAGGGTGCATCTCTCTAGGGTAGGTGGATGCAACTCCCTGGGGTAGATGTTCTGCTTGTAGGCCTTTCCACTATTTGGCTGAGAGCTAATCTACAGAAGTGAGTCCAGTTCCAGGCCTGTAGGATAACCCAGGGCCATAGTCTTGGGGGTTCCACCAGTCTTTATCCAACAAGTCATTTTTGTGGTTTTGAATTTTGTTCCACATTTTCCCTTCTAATCTATCCAGGATCTCCATTTTTGATCCCTTTCTGAGTGGTTGGCATTGGTAGCTGGGCACTATCTAGTTCTGGTCTCAGGGTTGTGAAGGCTAAGTTTCTCATGGTCCATCAGGCCCTTGGACTAATTGTTTCCATATCACTTTAATTTTATTCACTCTTCTTTGTTCCATTCGAGGAGAGACTGCTAGTTGAATCTTAGATGGCCTCTTGAAACAAGGCTGTGGTCTTTATGGAAGGAGGCTGCCTCATGTTTCTCCCACACAGTGGCTGGGTTCAAACTGCCAACCTTTCAGTCTGCAGCCAAATGCCTTAACCACTGCACCACCAGAGCTCCTGCCAAAGAGGCAGGAAAGGGGTGAATTTTGGTAGGGAAAGACAGAATTTTCCAGTCTTACATTGTTTTTGTTAAGAATTTTCCGTACTTCTTTTCCTCCCAGGGGGATGTGTAGTCAAGTTCTCAGATCTGCTGTTGTCTTTCAGTGATAACCATTTGAATCCCCAGGTTTAGCCCTGAGAAAAAGCTACTAGGGTAAGAATCTTGAAGAGAGAACATGTCCTTTCCCTTGTGGCTGCAGAGAGGGCTGCCATAGAGACAGTGTGTGAGAGAAACTGTTGACATACAGAGATGCCCCAGGACATTATACTCTCCTGGGTGGGCACAGAATTGGAAGGAGTTGAAAATTCAGTTCTGAGGTCTGAACTTTGGAGATTGATGCTAAACTCTACAATGTGAGATTTGCAAAACTTTAGTTAATATGAATATAATGATTAACTGACATCTTTATTTTCTGAAAGACACAGATACTAATGTGTTTTTTTTTTACTGACCTATAAAAAGTCTTACATCCTGCTCCTGCTGCTCAGGCTAATAGAACAGTGGGTGGGGCGCGTCCGCTGAGCTCCCTCCTC